TCTAAAACAAACAAACAAACAAAGCATAAATACAGGACAGAAATAGACTCACAGACATAGAATATAAACTTGTGGTTGCCAAGAGGGTGGGGGGTGGGAAGAGATAGACTGGGATTTCAAAATTGTAGAACAGATAAACAAGATTATACTGTATAGCACAGGGAAATATATACAAGATCTTATGGTAGCTCACAGAGAAAGGAATGTGACAATGAATATATATATGTTCATGTATAACTGAAAAATTGTGCTCTACACTGGAATTTGACACACATTGTAAAATGATTATAGATCAATAAAAAATGTTAAAAAAAAAAGAAGGAGTGGACAACTGATACCCATAACAACTTTGATGGAACTCAAAGGATATTAGACTGAAGGAAAAAAAGCCAGTCTCAAATCAGACATACTGTTTGACTCCATTTGTGTAACATTCTCAAAATAACAAAGTTATGGAGATGCAGAAGAGATTAGTTGCTGGCAAAAATTAAGGATTGTGAAGGATTAGCAGGTACCATGAGAAAAACTTTTGTGATGATGGAGTAGTTCTGTGTCTTGCTTGTAGTGGTTGTTACATGAATCTACACATGTGACAAAATGACAGAGCAAGACCCACCTTATAAGAGTATTAGTCTCCTGGTTTTAATTTTTCTGGTCTAGTCACATAATATGAGGCGGTGACTCCCTATCAAGCCACAGAAAAATCACACATGATGAAAATCTATGGCTACTCTAGTCTTCAATGACCAAAGACTAAGCTCTAGAGCCTTTCTTTGCGTAAAGCCTGTAGATGATCTCCGACTGCCGCTGCCAGCAACCAACCCAGGGCTCAGGAACTGGATGAAAAGGACATGAGACCTGTACTCTTTCTACAATGTCCTGGAAATATATTATCCTCTCAAAATGAATTTTTTTTGATAAGTACAGTGAGACTTACCGTGGTTCAATACTTCTTTCTGAACTTGTATGAGCTTTGCCCGCATTTCAAAGGAGAGATTGTCCATAGAGTTGATGTCAAAGACATAAGCCACACAGTGAATTCCGTCTTTTAGTGATGGAGAGGTGATGAATGCAGGATGCTTGGGTGTAATTGGTTTATGAGGACTAAACTGTTACAGAAACAAAAGGTAACATTTAGAGAGTCTACTGAATTCTTTCAGATACAATTCATGATTCAAACATGACCACCACTAACCTCCAAGCCAAAACTTTCACTTCTCTCAGATACTCCTTCCTCAGGTTAGTTAGCAGTATCTCTCTTTCATACTTCCTCTCCACTGTCAGCATAATGCCATTGTATCTTTTTAGAAAACCCCCACTTCATTGCTTTAGCAAAAATGACAACTATCCATAATTTACATTATTCATAATGAAAATATTTCAGAAAAGTATAAACAATGATTTTTGTAAAAAAGCTAATTTCCAATCCCAGTCTCTAGTACAAACTACTATTACTGTTTGTCACATACCATTTAAGACTCCTCCCCAAGCATTTTGTATACTTAGATGGACTAATGGATAGAGATAAAAGGAGAGAGAAAAACATATCGAAAGTATTATTTTAACTAAAATACTATAATTTAATTTTACAGAAGAAAAAAACTAAAATGAAACAGAAGGAATACTAAATTTCAAGTTAACATCTCCTTACTCAAGACAGTAATCTTTCCAGGATTAGTAAAATAATTACAAAACATAATACAAGGATGGATTCATTATATTTTTTAACTGTATGTTTCAGTGTTGGACTGAACTGATTGACTTTCTGCTGTGAAAAATGAATATGATCATATGTTCATGATTTTTCTTATTTTTCTGCCCAGCTCCTCCTCCCTGTATCTATGTCTTTTTTTTAGATTGTGAGCTCCTTGAGAATAAAGATTATGTTTATTCAACTGTATGTTTCCAGTAACTAGAATAGTATCTGGCTCAAATTAGGTTTTAAATAAATGAGTGCATAGTTAAGGTTTCTAATCAAGCACAATTGAGAGGCAAAGGAAGACACTCTAAAAATTGAGGCTGATTTTATCATACTCACTACCTAAGAGAAGGTTGATAATGATGGCTAAGTTTTTGAGAGCTTCAAGTATACTATCTTGTTTAATCTTCTTAGCCATCCTATGAGATGAGCATTATTATTAGCTACATTTCACACATGAAAAAACTAAGATTTACAGAGGCAAGATGTAACTTGCTTATGGATACACATCTAATTAGTGGCAGAGCCAACTTTGAATCTGGGTATTTAAGTAGTCAGTATTTAAGCAGTGAAGCCTACGCACTTTCAGTATAACCTCACACTTCCACAAAAAGTGGTTGTTTCAATGGTTTGTCTAAGGGATCAAAAAAGGGCAAGAGATTAAACTACTACTTTCCTAAGATTTTTACATCATTGCAAAGAGTGATATAAATAACTCCTCTTGACATTTTCCTGGAATCTACATGAGTAGAATCCTACCTTTAGGCTACATTTCTTAATGTATATACTTTCCTTACACGAATATGTATTCATCTAAAGTAAAAATGTTGGCTGGTGTTGAAGCCACTCTTCCACAGTGAAAAATGCCTCAAGGGGTCAAGATTCAACAAAAGGCATTAGTGAAAATGATTTGAAATATTTTAAAGATTGGAGAATTCTTACCTGATATCTGTCGGGCACGCAGCCTTTTAAGATGTGCGGTATGTCATCCACACACAATCCTACTCCCTCTTTCTCGCCCAGCCCCATGGAGTCACACAACTTAAATGGCAGAGATTCACCATCTATTCCATATTTAATAGAATATATCCTGTACTGTGAAACAAAACACATCAAGTTTAAAAATTCACTCTTCAAGGAGCCTTTAAGACATGATGATAGGAAAAACAGAGACTGGTTAATATTTTAAAACTGTGGTCCTCAAACATTTTGGTCTCAGGGTCAACTTACACTCTTAAAAATTATTGAGGATTCCAAAGATATTTTATTTATGTGGGTTATGTCCACAGATATCTAACATAGTAGAAAGTAAAGCAAAAAGTTTGAATATTCCTTAAATCATTTAAAAATACAATCATGAATCTGTTACATGTTAACCTAACTAACAACTTGATGAAAAAAAGATTTTCCAAAACAACTATAGGAAAGGGTGGGATTGATTTACTTTTTGTAATTCTCTTTAATGTCTAAATTAATAGAAAACAGCTGGATTCTTATATTTGCCTCTGCACTCAGTCGGTTGTGATGTTTTGGTTAAAGTATGAAGAAAATCTGGCCTCACACATATACATACAGTGGAATAGGAAGGAGTATTTAACATAACAGCTTTCACAGGATTGTGGACTTTCATCATTAATAATACATCAAAGCTGAACAAGTGATAATTTCTCAAAAGCTAGTGGCAATGTGAAATCTGTGACATTTTCATACTCTGTTGCATTAAACTCATTGATCTATCTTACAATTTGAAGATATCTTTTATCCATCCATGGTTTTGTAACCTGATGCAATAGTCATTTGAAAATATTGGTTCACTGGCTTATCTAGATCTTTCAGATACTGGCACATTTCATTATACAACATTAAAACATATTTGTTAAGATCAGCATTCATCACATCAGATAAGTCTTTAGGTACTGGAATGTTATCAAGCTCAAAGTGATGGCAACAAGTTTCCCAAAGTTCTCATTTTTTCTCAAAAAATCAGTGTTATCATTGGCAACAAGCATTGTTGATTATTTCCCTTGGAGTAATAAGCTCACTTTGTGCATTTTCCAAAAAAAAAGGTCTACCAAATAGCCAAGAATGAAAAACTAAGTCTGTCCATTGTCTTCTCAATTAAAAATGATTTGATGTGAGTAAAGTTCAGCTCATGACTCAACCACACTGGAGGCTTTGCTGGACAACCATATTTGGACCTGCAGGAGGAGCACTTTATGTGCACTTCTCATTTCATCGCACAAAACTTCAAAATCGCATGTATTCAAAAGTTCAGTCTAAATAAAACCAATAATTGTTCTGAATTCATCAAGGACATTCTGAAGTGAAAATGGCATTTTTTTGTTTTGTTTTCACTGCGAGCTCATTGGCAAGGAACATTACAGTGAATATAGTAGTATTTGGTGTCACTGCCTGATTCACGCTAAGGTGTCAACAGATAAAAGTATGTTTGTCTGACCAGTCCAAATGTTAACACACGAGGAAGGGCAAAAAAGCATCTTAGTATTATTATAAAAATAGTTCTAAACTCACAGATCCCCTAGAAGAGTCTCAGGGATTCTCAGGGTCCACAAATCTCACTTAAGGTGCACTACTTTAACAAATCTTTTTTTTCTAGACACACTCAATCTGATCCCAAGAACATTTTTCAGGACAGCTTTGGAAAACATGTATTCATTGGTCAACTACACTTCCAACACAGGTACAACTATGGAAGATTTAGGAAACTCACAAAAAAAAAATCAGTTTCTCAGAAACACTAGACAATACTTTCATCACAATTTTCCCACTCCAAACCAGGAAGTGGAGGATCCATTTAAAATAACCTATTGTAATTTGTCATGGAGTCAAAAGCTCCCATCACTCCATAAAATGTCTTGGAGCAATCCTACTGGAGGTTTTGATTTAAGTGAATGAGGTTTACTGCTACCTCAATATAGAATGAATTACCTGAAATATTAGAGTTATATACTTAAGTATATAATAATAAAATATAAAATAATAAAATTTTAAGATCAATAGGCACATTCATAGTTCCATTAATCATTAACCTGTTTCCTTTACAACTTCATTTCCTCAAAGAGAGGGGTCTCTGAGCAATAAGGTATTCCATTTCCTTAAACAAATATTCTGTCTTGTTTTCCTTCAGTGTGTATAGTATTTACATTCCATTTGGAGTTCAAGATCTACATCTTCTCTTAAAACAATGCCTTTGGCATTTTCAACATGAAACAAAGGCAGAGAAAAACCTGTCCTGATCAGTACTTCTGGTATAGCGTCTTTCACACTGAATAGTACTTATTTGTTTATTGGTTTGTTTGTTGCAACACAATATTTAGCAAAGATAAACATTTCAATCAATTCTTAACATAGTGAATTGCTGTAGTATCTTGCCTTGGCTCCTAAGGCTAGGCTGATATATCATAATAAAGTCACTGAAGTGGAAAACTCCAGCCAACATCAAGAAATAAGATGTGACTCTTGAAAGTCCTAGAAAATACTTTCAGTTATTGAATGTGAACACAAAACTAAAATGAGCCATTACTGTCTTATGCTAAATTTTGCATTGATAATATACAGAATATTCCCAACCAGAAGATGACAGTATTAGATTGGGGCAATCATAGAAAAACATAGCTTGATTATGAAATTTTCTATTCATCCCCTTTTTTTGCTTTGTGTAATAACATTGACAGGCGGAGAATGGAAGAAAATTTCTAGATAAATATTGCACTGTAATTTGTAGATCTTTAGAGTAACAGTTTTAAAAATGGTATTAGTACTTATTTCCTTAAATATATTTGTTTACAAATAAGATACTCTTTATAGGAGCATTAATGGATTCACTTACACTTTGAAGGTTAACCCACCAAAGTGAATTGCTGTTTCACTTTTCATGGTCATTTCTAATAAAATGGTTTGTATGATGTAAAAGTATTGCAATACATAATTCTCATTATTTTATTACAAAAAAGAGTAAAGAATATCAATCCAGGCAAAACCATGTGGGACATGAGTAAAAATATATATCAAATAAAATAGACAAAGATTTCCACAAAGTTTTTAAAAATGTATTTTTTTTACAAATACCAAACAACATTCTTCTTATAACTGTTTTTTGCATCCATAAAAACTGAAATCCTCTCTGTATAATATAACTTAATGAAGACAATTCTGATTCAATTTTTATTCCTGTTTTACATTTATTTTGGCACTTAATTGTTCATAGATTAGGTGGCAGTTAATTTATTGAGAAAATAGCAAAGAAATGAGCAAACCTAATAATTTTGTAATCCAGAAAACAAAATCCTCAGGAAATCCTGAAATAACTTACCTGTTCAGTAATGCTAGTGATGTCAGAACCCACGATGGCTTGGCGACTCAAACGGCCTTGGAAAATAGACTTCACTGAATTGAAAAAACTAGATTTTCCAGACCCAACTGGACCCAACAAAAGAATACGGATTTCTGATACCAAGTCTGCATAGGGCTTGTAGTCTCTGAGGTCTTCTAGGAGACTATTTCTGTGCCTGTTAAAATACAGTAGTTAAAATACAACAGCCAGACATCCGTAAGGAACAATACCATTCGATTCACCTGGAGCCTCTTGTCTTTCCTCTAAAAAGTATAGTTTAATTACTTACTTATCATTTGATAGTAATGTCTTCTATCATATGACTTGAAAGGGTCTAAAGTTATACATTTTGTGCTTGAGAAAATGCACTTATCTATATGAGACTAATTTAACATTAACCAGCAACCAAATCATTGTTAAACTATTAGCCTTAGACCATATAAATCTAATGAGAAGTAACAATAATAATGAAGATGAATTTTCAGAAATAATATATTAAGGAGAAATAAAAATAAAATATATGTAATGCAAGTATTTATCTGTAAACTTGGGGAAAAGTGACTTTGTTTTTAAAATTTTCTGAAGTTCCCCCAAAACTTTCTTCTCAAGAAAAAGATTCAGAGAAATTATCTGAAATGGTCTTCTCAACTCTGTCTGGAAAACTTTGAATCTAACAGGGCCAAAGTCAAATCGTCATTAGGTGGATCTTAAAAATTTCAGTTGGTAGTGGTTTTGTTTTTGTTGTTATTCTAACTTGTCGTGAACACATTATTTTAAGAACATTATAACTGATTTTTGACATTCCAAGTGGTATGATTTTTTAATCTTAATATTTGTCAGTGCCATTTATATGGTTAGTCTAAATGAAATGAGTAGCAAATAGTCCAAGAAACTAACTTACTGTGTGGCTTCTGTTATCCTGCTTATGTAGCCTGCATCATCCTTAATTCCTAAAGGAAACAAACATAGCATCATAATTTTTAAACTTGCCTGGTGAAGCGTGGCCAAGTCTACCTTCTAAACAGGGCATTGAGTCTGCTTGCATAACCCAGCTGAGCTACTCAGTAAGAGTTAGAGTTGGCAGCATAATGAGATGAAGAGGCGTGAGACATATCTTCTTTGCACTGTAACTCACTCTGGAAACGCTCACATAACTGTGCCCAAAGGTCCTAGGGCTGACGAAAGACGTGTCACGTGTCAAAGTAGGTCTGCTCTGATAGTGAGGCCTCTCTCTCTGTCTCTCTCTCTCTGTCTCTCTCTTTCCGTCACTTCACTTACACTTCTCAACTTACTTTGATCAAAGCTGCCTATTCTTTCTGGGTAATAACCTCATAACCTCTATGCCTCCCAGGTTTCACTCTGGAGTTTATGAAAGAGAAATTTGGTGGCATGAACCTCAATTGTTCGTCTCATTTTCCCAAACACAAAGACTAGAACCAGAATGTAGGATTATCTCATTTAACATACCTTCAACTCGAAAAACTTCACATTCCGAATATCTGCAGGAAAGGTCAGATGGAAGTCCTAATTCTTCCTCTAAAAACTTAGGTATACAAATATTTTTATTTCTTGATAATATATGCAAACTCCAAAATTCAGCAAAATCAAATCTCAGTTCTTCACTAGTAATTTTTAATGTTGAGTTTAAAAATGCAGTTGTCATTTTCATTGTTTCATTCTTTCGAAATGAAAAAAAGAAGGAATTATTTGGCTCTTTAAAGTTTTTACCCATTTCAGGATAATGCCCAAGAATAAAGATCCCAAAAGTATATTCAGGAAGATAAATCATTGTTATAGTGGGTCCTTGACCAATGCACTTATTATTCATATTTTGAATGTTATTTCCATGGACACTAGACTTATAAAGAAGTCTCAAGGAAATATTTCCAAGTAGCTTTTGCAGACTCCTTTCCTCCTTCCATGTCAGTTTGGTTGTCACTGCCATTGTTCTGTATCTAGGGGGAGAAAAAATAATCATTTGAGAGAGTAGTATCACATCACAGTTTAAAGCACGGATTTCTTCTTCTAGTTCCAGGGAGTTATTTTTATCTCTGGCCCAATTAAAACATGTTGCTTGGATTACAATGCTATATATATATATATATACACACACATATATACATATATATATACACACATATATACACATATATAAATGTGGCAATAATAAAGATGCTTAATGATCTCAGGAAAATTGTGCATGAACAAAATGAAAATTTCCACAAACAGAAATTATTCTTTTTTAAAATATAAATTTTAGAGCTAAAGAATATAATAACTGAACAGTAAATTTACTAAGTTTCAACAGCAGACTTGATTAAGCAGAAGAATAAGTGAATTGAAGACAGTTCACTTGAAATTATCCAGTCAGAGGAACAAAAAGAAAAACAAATAATGAAAAGGAGGAAAGAAAGCCTGAGGGGGTTAAGAAACATCATAACATAAATCAATATATGCATTATGAGGGGCCCAGGAGCAGTGAAACGGGGTTACAAAAAGCTTATTTAGAGAAATAGTTGGCTTAAAACTTCCCAAATATGGGGAAGGAAACAGATACCCAGATTCAAAAAGGCCAAGAGTCTCCATATAGGATTTAAAAAATCCACACAAAGATGTAATAGTATTTAATTATCAAAAGTTAAAAACAAAAAGAGAATTTTGAAAGCAGCAATAAAGAAGTAATTCATCACATACAGGGAATCTCCCTAGGACAACTAATGGATTTCCTAGCAGAAACCTTGCAGGTCAGAAGGGAGTGGAATAACATACTCAACATGTTAAAAGAAAATAATGCCAATGAAGAATACTATTTCTGGCAAGATATTCCTTCAAAAATGAAGGAGGGATAAAGACTTTCCCAGATAAACAAAAGCTGAAAAAGTTTATCACTTCTAGACCTGGCAAAATAAATTATAATGAGAGTTCTTCAAGTTGAATGAAATGATACTAATGAGAAACAGGAAAGCTAAGAAAAGCATGAAGATCTCTGGTAAAAGTAAATATATATAAACAAATACATAATATTTTAATATTGTAGTGGTGATGTATAAATCACTTCTAATTCAGGTACAGAAGTTAAAACAAGCAAAAGTATAAAAATAACTATGCAAAAATATTAGTGGATACACAATATATAAAGTTATGACAGAAATACTGTAAGTCAAGAAAGTAAAAGTATAGAGTTTTTGTATGTGATTGATGTTAAAATAGATCATTATAATTATAAAATGTGTAAGGTAACCACAAAGAAAATATCTGTAGATGGTACACCAAAAAAATAAAAATAAAAAGGAATGAAAGCATGTGACTACAAAAAAAGCTAAAAAATCACAAAAGGAAACTGAAAGATATTAATTGAGGGACAAAAGAGCTAAAAGACAGACAGAAAAAAATTAACAAATGGTGGTAGTCAATCTTACCCTGTCAACAATTACTTTAAATGTAAATGGACTAAACTTCCCAATTAAAACACTGAGAGGCTAAATGGATATAAAGATCAACTATATACTGTCTACAGGAGACTCATTTTAGATTTAAGGACATAGATAGAATGAAAGTAGAAAGATAGTAAAAAATAATTCCACTCAAATGTAAAATAAAAGGCAGCCTGATATTTATATCAGGCAAAATAGACTTTAAATCAAAATCTGTCCCAAGAGTCAAAGAAAGACATTATATTAACAATAAAAGGATCAACTCACCAAGAATATAACAATTACAAATATATATGTATTCAAAATCAGAGCAGCTGAATAAATGAAACATTGACAGCAACACAATAATAATAGATTTAAACTTTCATTAGGAGAGTCAGTACTTTCAAAACATGGATAGCAACTTTGATATGCACTGAGAAACCAAAAAAATCCATGTGATTCACTTTATTGTGAGATTCACTTTATTGTATTGCTCTGGAACAAAACCTGCAATATATCCAAGGTATGCCTGTATAAATGTAATCTACCATATTAACAGATTCAAGGGAAAGAAAAACTTATGCTTCTCTCAGTAGAGAGATTTTCACATGACAGTACATGGATAACTTCCTGACAATTAATTTGATCTCCACAGAGGTGGAAACAATGAATTTTATGGCTCAGGAAAAAAAATGTATAGCATATCTAAAGAATAACAAGGAAACAGAGTACTTCAGCAACATTACAGATCAAATGAACCTGACAGAGATATACATAAGAGTCCATCCAACAACAACAGAAGATACATTTTTCTCAAGCACACAGGGAACATTCTCTATGACAGACCACAAGTCAGGTCACAAAACAAATATTAACAAATTTAAGAAGATTCAAATCATACTAAGTATCTTTTCTAAACACAATGATATGAAACTAGAAATCAACAGCAGAAGGAAATCCAGAAAACATGAGAATTAACCAAAACACTCTTGAATAACTAATAGGGCAAAGAAATAATCAAAAAAGGAAATTAGATAATATTTTGAAACAAATGAAAATTTAGAACACAACATACCAAAAATAATAGGATGCAGCAAAAGCAGTAACAAGAGGGAATTTTATCATGATAAGTGACTACATTAAAAAGAACACCTTAAGTAAATAATCTAGCTTTAAAGCTCAAGCAGCCAAAGAAGGGGGGGGAAACATACAAAGTTAGTGGGAGGCAGAAAATTTAAAAAGATTAGAAAAGAAATAAATGAAATAAAGGATAGACAAAAACAAATAAAACTGAGGGTCTTTTTAATTAACAAAATGACAAATGTCTAGCTAGACAAAAGACTAAAAGGAACAAAATCAGAAATGAAAGAAGAGATATTACAACTTATGCCACAGAAATAAAAAGGATTGAGACTATCATGAATAATTATACATCAACAAATTGGACAACCTAGAAGAAATGAATACATTCCTCAAAACATAGAACCTACCAAAACTGAATCATGAAGACAGAGAAAATCTAAAACAAATTAATAACCAATAAAGAGATTAAATCAGCCATCAAAACCTCCCAATAAACAAAAGCCCAGAATCAGATAGCTTCACTGGTAAATTCTATCAAATATTTAAAGAAGAATCAATCCCAATTGTTTAAATCTTCCAAAAACTTGAAATAGAGGTGGGAACACTTCCAAACTTACTTTATGAAGCCCATATTTCCCTTATACCAAAGACAGACAAAGATACTATAAGAAAAAAAGAAAAAGATAGACCAATTTCCTTGATGATTATAAAGGCAAAAATCCTCAACAAAATACCATCAAACCAAATTCAGATCACATTAAAAGGATAATACACTGTGACCAAGTGGGATTTATCCCTGGGATGCAAAGATGGTTCAACATACAAAAATCAATAAATGTAATACAGCAATAACAGAATGAAGGATAAATATCACCTCATTATCTCAATAGATGCAGAGAAAGCATGTGACAAAATTCAACACCATTTTACCATAAAAATTCTCAACAAAGAACAGAAGGAAATTAGTTCAACATAGTAAGTTCATATATTAAAGCATATAACTCTTCCTCTCTTCCTCTGAGATCTGGAATAAGGCAAGATTGTTCACTCATACTACTTCTATTCAACACAGTACTACAAGTCCTAACCAGAGCAATTAGGCATGAAAAATAATAATAAAAACTATCCAAATCAGACAGGAAGAAATAAAATTATGTCTATTCACAGATGACATGATCTTCAATGTGAAAAGCCCTAAGGATTACACACACACACACACACACAAACTTGTTAGAACTAATAAGTAGGTTCAATCAAGTTGCAGGATACAAATCAACATACAAAAATCAGTTGCATTTCTGCACACTAAAAATATACTGACTGAAAATGTAATTAGGAAAACAATTCCCATTTACAATAGCACTAAAATTAATAAAACACTTAGAAACAATAAGGAGGCAAAAAGACTTGTACTGAAAACTATAAAACACTGTGGAAAGAAACTAACAAAGATAAAGGAAAGACATCATATGTTAATGGACTGGAAGACTTAAAATTGTTAAAATATCCATACTACCAAAAGTGATATACAGTTTCAATGTGAACTCTATCAAAATCCCAATAGCATAGAATAAACAATCTTAAAATTCATATGAGACCACAAAGGATCTCAAATAGACAAAACACACTTGAGAAAGAAGATAAAAGCCAGAATCCTCACATTTCTTATTTCTAAACATATTACAAAACTATAGCAATTCGAAAGGTATGATACTTGGCATAAAGACAAATATATAAATGAACAAAACAGAATAAAGATCCCCAAAGAAACCCATGCATATACACTCAATACTGATCTTTAACAAGGGTGCCAGGAATACAAAATTGAGAAAGGACAGTCCCTTTAACAAATGGTGTTAGGAAAACTAGACAGCCAGATGAAAAAGAATAAAATTGAATTCTTATCTTAGACCACACACAAATAGCTCAAAATTGATTAACGGCTTAAATGTAAGACCTAAAACTATAAAAATCCTAGAAGAAAACAGAGGAAGAAAGCTTCATAACACTGTTCTAAGCAATGGTTTCATAGATATGACACCAAAGCACAGGTAACAAAACCAGAAATAGACAAGAGGAACTAGATCAAAGTAAAAACTTTCTGCACAGCAAAGGAAACAATCAGTAGAGTGAAAAGTCAACCTAAGGAATCGGAGAATATATTTGCAAACCATGTATCCCATAAGGGCTTAATACCCAAAATATATAAAGAACTCATACAACTCAACAGCAAACAGAACGAAACCTGGTAAAAAAAAAAACAAGCAAAGGACTTGAATAGACATTTCTCCAAAGACATACAGATGGCCCACAGGTATATAAAGAGATGGTAAACATCACTAATCATCAGAGAAATGTAAATCAAACCACAGTAAGATATCGCCTCACATCTGTTAGGATGACTGTTGAAAGAAAGAAAGAGAGAGAAGAAAG